TTTTTTTTTTTTTTTTTTTTTTCCGGTGTAACGTTATTGAAATGTCACAGGTGACATTTCATTCAGTTCCACAGGCACAGTGGGGTGCAAGGCGGTTGTACTGCATCACACCCCACTGTGCTGAAATAAAGTACAGCATGCCATACTTTTTTCAGCTCACACCACCGTGTTCCCATTACAACGCGGTGGTGTGAACTGATTCTGTCCGTGACGAGGCAAGTCGCCTTGTCTTGTGCTGGGGCAGCGCTGGAAACAATGGCCAGCACAGCCACAATGCATGTGATTGGGCCCTAATGGTGCTAGTTTATGCCTAGGGGACCACAAAGATATTTTACGTATCTGATCCCTGCATCCCCCGGCTCCCTCTGGGAGCCTCTTCTCCCCCTCGCTCAGGCAGTCTAAGGACCACTGATGTCTTTAGATGTGAGGACACTGAGGGACAGTCCACAGCCAGAGCAGAGGGGAGGTAGGTGAGTGCTGACCACCAGGGATGCAGGAATCAGGTAAGTAAAAGTTTTACTTTACTCTGCTCGCCATAGATAAACGAGCATTGGGTGGGTTTAGCGCCACTGCAATGGTAGTTTTTTTTTTTTCTTGGTTTGTCTGGAGATGCACAGGTGCCACCATCGTTCTAATGGAGGCACATGTGCCCGCTTGTTTCTACAGTGGCTGTGTGCGTCCGTAGACACACACAGCCCTGTGGCAGGCCACACCCCCTTCCCTCTTTGATTAATGGCAGAAGGAGCCTATGGCTCCTCTGCCATCAGTATCCTCCCCCTGCCACCCGGAAGTTTGGGAAACGGAGGATCTCTTCGGACCGGCGGCGGGGACAAGTGCAACTGACAGGTAAGTGTGGGGAGGACTGGGGTATAAAAAAAGGTGCTGGGCCATTTTTACCCTAATGCAGAGAATGCATTAAAGTGACATTAAACCCTCAGATTTTTTTTAACATAAACCAATACTGTAATGTGTGCCTTACTGTAATACATGGTAGTTTCCCTTCTCTTTGCTGCTCTTCCTTTTTAAATCCTCATGTCTTCTCATGCTTGGGGATAACTTCCCTTTGCAGCTGAGCCTCTTCCTGTAGCGCTGGCTCGGGTTGCAAACCTACACACAGACACCATGTATCCATTTCAGAGGCAAGGCAGTCTGCTGCAAAACAGAAGTTCTGCCCAGCATGAGAAGAGATACAGATTTAAAAGGAAGAGCAGCAAAGAGAAGGGAAACTACCATGGATTACAGTAAGGCACACATTACAGTATTGTTTTATGTTTAAAAAATCTGAGGGTTTAATGTCACTTTAAGGTAAAAAATGCCCAGACCTTAATGCTACTTTAACTTATGTGTGTCAAACCCAAACTTTTTTCTTTTGCTTTGGATAGAGTGGGGAATGATTAGTATACTTTAAGCTATTTTTATTGTTCCATGTGCCCCCATTGAGGAGACTAACACCACCAATTGGAAAGGAGGTAAGGAAAATCCTTCCCAAAGGGGACACATGGCAATAAAAACCTGACGTAGGTAAAACCCTTCCATTTTCTATTCAAAATAAAAAAGCTCTACTCTAAATTAGTTTAATTCACACCCATTATTATTTCAGATTTCATACATTATAAAAGACACGATGACCCATATTTCCTACTCGCATTATAAAATATGTTTTATTCCCTGTCCAGGAAGAAAAGACGGGGCAGAAGGCTTCTGAAGCAAAGGAGGTTAAGCTGTATGCACAGACCCCGCCCATTGAAAAGATGGATGCATCTCTGTCCACATTGGTCAATTGCGAGTAAGAACATCAGTCAATTTCCAATGGTAGCTCAGGCAAGGGAAGCATGAGGTCCTAACTAGGGATGCACCGAAATGGAATTTTGAGACCGAAAATTACTTCTTTTTTTTTTTCCAATCTTTTAAAAAAAAATTAATTCTTTTTTAACTATTTTTTTTTTTTTTTTTAACTTTACTGTCGGGGATTCTGGGGAATTATTGGGGGTCTAAACAGACCCCTGATATTTCCCTTCTAAAATAGGTAATGAGACTGAGGACACAGAGCTCAGTGTTCTGATCATTCATACCTTGTGGATTTAATATGAGTTACTATGTCCACAATCATGAATGAATGGGAAGTCATATAGAGGCGGAGCTGTCCTCCCACACCTCCCAGCTCCGCCTCCTCTGTCAGGAGGCACAGCTGCTTGTCAGAATCTTCCTGGATGTACTGTGCAGCAAAATTAATTTCTATGTAGAGTTACCAAGTACAAGCTATTGCTGTTCCTATCATATCTGCTAACATTTAAAGGACAATACCACACTACTAGTATTCTGTACATTGGTAAAGAAATGAGGCTGTGCTGTGATAAAGATGAACCAGGGACCCATTTGTACAGTTTTCAGCACTCTTGGATTCGTCCACTCAGTCCTTCTACCTGAGCTGCTCACACACATACACTTGTGGATATAATGAGAGTTGCTATGTCCACAATCATGAATGAATGGGAAGTGATATAGAGGCGGAGCTCTCCTCCCACACCTCCCAGTTCTAGTTCTTTGCATGATGTCATTAACCTCTTGCCGTCCGCCCGTAGTAAAAAAACGGACGGACGGCACTGCAGCGGGCACGCACGGGCAGAAAAGACCCGTCCAATGCGAACACCCGGTACCGGGTGTTTCACATATAGGCGATCAGCGGGTCCATAGCCCGCCGATCGCCTATATGTGCTCGTTCGCGGCAAACGCGATAGGGGGGTTGTTATCCCCCTATATAATAGCAATAACAATAAGTGCAAAAAAAAATATATAAATAAAAAAAAAAGTAACACAAAATAAAATAAAAGCCACATATAAAAAAAGGGGAAAAAACCCCCCCAAAATGTTTAACTCCCCCACCCCCACGTTTACGCGCCTATAAACGTAAATACGCGTCCGGTGCCCCAGCGCGCAAAAATTACAATTGCGCTACACATGTTACATATCGCCGCGAACGTCGCAGTGAGAGCAATCATTTTAGGGCCATCAATCACTGATAACACTAAACTGATGAGCGGTAACAGCTTTTAAAGCGTCGCCTAGGGCCAATTTTGGGTATTATCGTTTTTTGAGGTTTCGCGCGCGCACGCAATTTTAAGGCTTGACATGTTTAGTGTCTTTTTACCCGACGTGACCCCGTCTTTTATATTTTACCAAAAAATTGGGTAATAATAAATGTTTTATCATTTAATATAGGGGAAACTGTTTTTTTTTTTTTTTAATTTCGGTAATTTTTCCTTAATATAGTAAAAAAATAAAACCCCCAGTGGTGAATAAATACCACCAAAAGAAAGCTCTATCTGTCCCCAAAAAAGGGTATAAAATTCATTTCAGTACAGCGCTGCATGACGGAATAAATGTCAGTTAAAGTACCGCAGCGCTGAATACTGAAAAATGGCCTGGATGGGAAGGGGGTTTAACACCGCGGATGTCAACTGGTTAAACGAGCTACATTGAATTTAGCCTGTAATCAGGGCTGGGCTTACCATAATAGTGGGCCAGTGTCTTCATTAGGCTTAGCATTGCCAAAAGTGCAAACATCAATGAGAACTTAAATAGACATACAGAAGTAAAGTACAACCCGTAAGAACAACCCCAGACATCCCTATGATGTCATAAACCCGCCGAAACCGCTGCATTATTATCTGATGCATGTTTGCAGAGGTTTTGATGGGTTTTTTGACATCATAGAGATGTCAGGGGCAGTGCCTAGGGCATCACCAAGCCCAGGAATTGGCTATTTGTGATAACATTTTCCTAATTTTGTTTCTTCTGAGCATCTGTCGCTAAAGAAAACTATAGTGGGGAGTGTGTGCAGGGGGGATATTGAGAGGAGTCATCAGACTCTACAGTTCAAGAAACTTTAAACCATCTCTCCCTTCTCTTATTTGGTGGTCTGAACATTTTAAAGTTAAATATTAATGTAAAGCAACTTCCATGTTACCTCCAATAGCTGTGGTTTTAGCAAAATATTCACTTGACACAAGGGGCAGGCTTATACAAAAGGGCATCATCACCCAAGTATGCCTAGGGCCAGATAGTATCCAAATACAGCCCTGCATGTCATTATATGTATTTTCTTTTTTCTCTCTTTAGGAAATTGTCTCTTTCCACCAACTGCATTGAAAAGATAGCTAACCTGAATGGTCTGAGTAAGTGCAATATTTCCTTCTGTTTCTCCGGTCTAACAATTCCTGTTCTGAAACCCTTTAGTTGTATTCATCAGACGATCTCGGTTTTATTTCATTACAGTAATCTTGTGATGATTTGGATTTAGAATTCATCAGGCTGCAGCAAGCAAAACAATGAACTCCCAGTTATCCAGCACCAATAGGGATTGGTAGATGCCGGATAAATGTAGCTTGAGAGTACTTTCTTTCTCAGGTCCGCTCCTCTGCTCATTGACAGCGAGCAGTGGGTGGGTGCAATGGCCAGCCTGCTGTTGCAGTTTAAAATAGATACAAGCAGCCTGGCTATTGCTCCCACCCACTGCCCGTTGTCTACATTCAGCTGCCGGCTGCGGAATCTAGCTGCTGGCTGGCAGCAAGATGTAAACAGGGAATTTCTTTAGGAACTAAATACATTTAGTACATGCACATGTCTATCAAGCAGTAATAGGTCCTCCCAATTTTTTATTTGCCAGTTGCTTGAGAGTGCCGATTGCTTGAATGCCGGATAATGGGGAGTTTACTGTATATATCTTCGATGTTTCTACAATCCTCTGATTGCAGTTGAATACCTTGTAGGGATCCCTAATGACATACGTTGTCCCAGTACGCTATGGGTATTTGATCAGTTATATCAGGGGTAGCCAAACTCCGGCCCTCCAGCTGTGGTGGAACTACAAATCCCATGATGCATCTCTCTCCAGGAGTCATGTCTGTGAAAATCTTGCAATGCCTCATGTGATTTGTAGTTCCACCACAGCTGGAGGGCCGGAGTTTGGCTACCCCTGAGTTATACAGTGCTGATGCTGAAAATGTTATGCATTATATGTATCTGCACCCATATATCTATCTACATTCTACATTGTAATGCTTATAAATTACTTCTCTTTCAGAAAATCTCAGAATATTGTCTTTGGGAAGGAATAACATAAAGAATTTGAATGGATTGGTAAGAGTTTTCTGACTTGCACCTTTTTCTTATTTATGGAGATACTAAACATAGAGATTAACTCTTGCCATACTTTGAACTATGGAAAAAAATAGTTTAGAAACCGCACAAGTTAAGAAAGTTACCCCTGATAATGAATATAGTAGAAGAGGATGACTGCTGCTTACTATATAAATCATACCTTGATTAAGGCCAGATACTACACAGAACTCTGTATTTCTAAGGCTGCAGGGACAGTGAAGGGCTCAAGTCGCATCCCTCTCCCCTCCTCCCCCCTCTTCCATTCACAAAAAGTCTTGTATTTGTTTCACAGAATGCAGGGAGTCTTGTGAATGAAGAAGGGGAGATTTAGCTGCATACCTGCCCCTTCACTCCTCTTGACCATTCACAGAGTGCCTTGCATTCTGAAAAAAATACAAAGGTTTTGTGAGTGGACAAGAGGAGAGCAGGGGGGGGGTATGTGACTGGAGCCCAGTTTTGAAGCACAATCTTATGCTGCAAGACCGTCAGTAAAGATGAGATTCTGAAGCAAAAAAGGTGTGCAGACAACATATCCTGTATCGGTGTGCTGTGGTGCTATCCACCAGTTGTTTCAGCATCCAACTAAAAGGGATACATTGGTATGGTGTGCAAAGGAGATACAACCCTAGTTCATGGAGCCCTTCACTGTCTCAACCGCTGCTCTCATCCCTGCAGCCACGGAAAAACAGCGCTTTGTGTAGTATCTGGCTTCAATCAAGGTATTATTTTTATAGTACAACAACCATAGGGTAATGGGCCCACATTAGTACAACACACCCCGATGATTTGAACTAGGCTTTCTAGGGCTTTTAAGGTGTACTCATGGACGTATTGATTAAAACTCACATTTTATTTCTATCAAGCTAAAATAGGTACGTAGTGTACCTGTGTGTACATCAATACAAACATGAGCTAATAACATTTAAAAATATAAAAGTACAAGCCACGTCTATAATGGCAACAACCTCCCCACATGTATCCAAGAAATTGTATGTAATATCAAATGTCCATGATGAGGTTTAGATACAATTGTTCCATTTGCAGCTTTGACCATATCTTGTGGGTGGCTGGAGGAGGTGTTGCACACTCTTGACAAGTTTCGCTCACAGAAAAGGTGCTTCCTCAGAAGTATAGTGTGGTAAGTACACTCACCACTGGCCCAATCCTGTGTATGAAGGGACGCACCACACCCCCATCCGTGTGTGGGGGGGGGACCACCGGAGGGATACACCGTGAACACCACCGACCAACACAAACTCCAGTCATCCACCAGATAGTTGGTCTGTTACTACAGTGATGTACCAACAAGGCTGTGCACTCCAAAAAGGGCAGCCGTCCATGAGTACACCTTACAAGCCCTAAAAAGCCTTTCTGGTTCATTATTTCTATAGTAATCGGCCGTCATCGTGTCCTATACTCTAAGGTAACTTACTTAACTTGTGCTGTTACTTTATTAAGTCATATTTTTGCCAGGAGTTCAGCTTTAAATCTGTAGCCAATGTACAGCTTCCTCTGCCGTTCACACTGCAACAACTTCCAAACTTCCATTGCTCTGCTTCCCAGCCAGCTCCGTGCTGAGTGGCTGGGAAGCCAGCTTTCCGGCCAATCGGCATGGAGCCGGTTTCCTGGGCAATCAAGAAGCCAGGCACAGGTAATGACACGTTGCTCGGCTTCCTGATTTCCTGGGAAGCCGGCTCCATGCTACCGGAAGTACCGGTATCTGCACTGTACTCCGTATCGGCGAGTACCGAATGATAAATATCAGTACTCGATACCGAAAAACTGGTATCTGTGCACCCCTAGTTTTAAGTAATCTTCGTGCCTAAAATGTGCATTTTAACATGTGTACAAAAAATGATGAAAAAGTGACAGCAAAAGAGTAAAAGGAACTGAATAGCCCACCACCTAGTGCAGCGTGTGCAAGGAGACTTCTATGTCTGAGTCAAGTTAAGGTACTGGTATAGGAATGCTAGTTCTTACATATGGGCCATTGGGAATAAGTGCTTTAGAGACGTGTGTAATGTAGCAGATGATCAGTGACATGTACTGGTCACCTGACAAATGGTTACCATGAGAAGCACAAAAGGTGACTGGGCACCAGATGTGTATTATGAGACCACTTTTGGTATCTGTGACGTGCCCCATTACCCCAGACTGTTTCATATCCCCATAACAGTATATCTTCCTATTACATAAACGTGCCTTCAGTCCACATTCCTCTGGAGTTATAGCTAAACCGGTCTCTGTGTTAAGGCAACTTTCTGATCTCCATTCATTCACATTATTCACTTCCAGGAAGCAGTCGGGGAAACCCTTGAAGAACTTTGGATCTCATACAATTTACTTGAAAAGTTAAAGGGAATTCATGTCATGAAAAAGCTGAAAGTACTTTATATGTCCAACAATGTAGTGAAAGATTGGGGTAAGTGAATTCTCAATACAGGCGTTCATAAGTTATACATGCTGCACAGATTTCAGGCCTTGGCTATTTTATTTATTTTTGATTTAACACATTTGCATTGAGTAAGTCTCACAATTCAACACTCCCGGAAGTGTCAATTCTCCTAAATTACAGGAATGATATCTCTGCTTAAAAACACAAACACACACACACACACACACACACAATATTCAGTTGTGTCAATTATTGGGCTCTGAATTTTACTGATGAGATCATTCTGAATGGTACTCCAACACACCTCCTGGTGTTGCACGCCAATGTAACGCACATTATTGTGCTTCCACACAGTGCACACATGCTGGCAGGTGTGTTGCTTGCGGTACCGTATGCTGTGCTATAGCGTGTGCTTAACACAAAGATCTCGGGGGTTTAGAGAAATGCTGTGGTATTAAACTAGGATTCTCCAATATTTATGCTTCCCATTAGCTAATACTAGTTAGTCACGTTCAGCTGGACTTATTCTATAATGCTCACCATTACAGAACTAGTACAGCTGTATGTGACTGACTGACTGCTACTAGCTGTACAAGGATGTAGATGAATGGAAAACCGTCTCAGGCATATGCTTTTCATTGTTTTTAGTACACTTGTAGTTGATTCTAGACTATAATAAAGAATAACCTGTAGAGAGTTTCTGACCTTAACTACCTCCCGGCCGGCCATTGTGAAACAAACGGCCGGCTGGGATTGACGGAATAAATGTCAGTCAAAGTATCGCAGCGCTGAATACTGAAAAATGGCCTGGCCAGGAAGGGGGTCTAAACACCTGGTCTTGAAGTGGTTAAAGGGCCTGCTCAACACAACACACATTGTGCCAGAAAATGTATTGAAGTGTGAATGGGCCCCAAACATTTAACTTAAAGCGTACTTTTCAGTTCCCTGGCTGGCACATTTTGGTGGTTCAATCTAGGGTGATTGAATTCTGGGATATATTACATCAGCTGATTGCAAAATGTTCTTTTGTTCCTTTCAGCGGAATTTTCCAAGCTGGCTGATCTGCCATGTTTGGAGGATCTGGTTTTTGTGGGGAATCCTCTGGAGGAAAAACACACGTTAGAGGGAAATTGGATGGAGGAGGCAACTAAACGTCTCCCTAAGCTGAAGAAACTGGATGGTGAGTGATGATACAACTTCGCTTTATGTGCAGGATATTACAATTTATTACAAACTTGGTCCTGATAGGAAACTATGCTGAGCTAATGGTAGGTTCATCAGCTGATCATAGATACTAATTACACCGAGTGTCCACCAGGAGTCTTACCAGACTGATGTACCACAGCCACCTGGGCCAGTCCACAGCAATGAGGAACACTGAAATGTACTCCCATCCGGATCCTGTGAAGCACACGAGGCAGAAGCATCAGGGGAGGAAATGTACTGATCCCAATGAGACACTCAAGCATCAACTGCTTCTGCTAGAGGATCCCTGTACCTGGAGACAAACTCTGCCAATTTGTTGTTGAGCTTGGAGGACAGGATGTCCCTATCGAGTGTCTCCCACCTGTGACACAGGTTATGGAACACCTTTGGGTGTGAGGATCTTTTCCCCCGATCTAGGCACTGTCAGCTGAGGAAGGCTTTCTGCCCCTGGTCATGTACATAGAGGGCAGGGTGAGAACATGAAGTTCTGCCCAAGACCGGATCCGATCTACCTCTCGTGCTTAAGCGAGACTTCAGGTCCCTCCCTGATGGTTGATGTACACCACTGCTGTGGCATTATTCGGATCAGATGAGCTTCCAGCTAGATGATCCAATGCTGCAAAGACAGCCAAATCGCCACGTTCCAGGATGTTGATTGGGAGACAGCACTCCGCCGATGACCAAGTCCCAGGATTCCTTCCCAGTCTGACAGGCTGGCATTTGTTGTGAGGACCTGCCAGGAGAGAGGAAGGATGGACTTCCACTATTCTAGAGCCTCCTACTGAACTAAGCCAGGACATCCTGGTCCTTGATGATAACCGAATGGGGTCTTTCCAGGGATTTTTCCCATGAGAGAATGGGGCATTGTAGTTAGGGGTGAAACCTGGCAAATTGGATTCAAAGCTGCCATCAGGCCCAAGATGTTTATGCAAAAGCACAGAGTTGAGCAGCTCACGGACTCGAGAGCTTGAATCTGAGATCACAGAGTTTGAAGTTTTTCCTCTGGAAGAAACTCTCTGGCCTGAGCTGTGTCCAGATGCAGACCCAGATACTCCAAATGATTTGTCAGTTCCAGCAGTGATTTCTGAAGGTTCAGGATTCAACTGAACCACTATAATGTCTGGACAGTCAAAGCCACATTGTCTGTCCGAACCACACGGACTGTTTCCTCAACAGTAGGCAGTCTGAGTATCCCACAATGGGAATGCCATGATAGCACAGCAGGGCTAAAACGGTCTGGCATTTTGGTGGACACCCAAGGTGCAGATGAGGTCAAAGGCCAGCAGGGTCTGGACATGGAACTTCAAAGTACAGGCTGAGAATGTTCATGCCTGGATAGCTGTGATTGAAAAGGTAAACGCTACAAGAGATGTAGAAAAAGAATCTTGATTGAAGAAGTAATGAAAAAGAGTGCTAGCAGAAATCGGTTTTAGTCTTGCACACAGGAGAGCTAAAGAGACGACATCTATCCTTCTAGGACAAGAGTGTATGCGTGCTGCCAGTAGAACATCTGGCCTAAAGTTTTGTGTTTGCCACTGTCCGATTTTTTTGTAGGCAGCAGTATAACCTGAAGGTGAAAGACTTCCTGTGTCCCTCAATGGACAAAAAAATTATATTTTTAATTTATTTTTTTTGAATATTCTTTTATGATTCACAATTCCTAAGCAAACTAAATGTCATCCGGTTAGCTCTGTACTAGATCATTGTAATGTCCTTGGCATTTGTAATTTAATTGTATATGGCTCTTATCTGATTTGTAGTCTTATTTCAATATGTGGCCAGTATTCAGAATCATTTCTCTGATTGCTTTGTGTAGAGAAAGCTTGCAACATAATCTTAGCAAAGTGGAACTGGAACATCACTGTGGCTTCAAATGTTCCTATTGTGTTGACTGTGGTATAATACAGTCACACGGTTTCTGCAAGGCAGTGCATCAGGCAAAAAAGGATGTACAAAGTTCAATGACCCAGAATAAACTTACTGCCTTTCGTTATTGTTAGGGATGCACCGATACCATTACTGATACCGAGTCTTTGTGCGAGTTCTCATACTCGCCCCAAATGCTCCGGATACTTACCTCCTGTACCGGATCTTCCGGTCAGAGGGAGATTTCTGTCTGACCGACAGTGCAGAGGGAGCATGGAACTGTCTTCCTTTCCAATCAGGAAGCCAGGCGGTGGGTTATGACCCGCCTCCTGGCTTCCTGATTGGTCAGGAAGCCAAGCTGCCTAGCAACAAGTGAAGCCGGCCTCCTAGCCAATGAGGAAGCCAGGTGGCACGTCATGACTGGCTTTGCGGGTTCCTGGTTGGTTAGGAAGCCAGCTTCACTTGTTCCTAGGCAGCCTAGCTTCCTGACTAATCAGGAAGCTGAGAGGTGGGTCATTACATGTCGCCTGGCATCTTGATTGGCCAGGAAGCTAACCAATCAGGAAGCCAGGCAACACGTAATGACCCACCTCTCAGCTTCCTGATTGGTCAGGAAGCTAGGCTGCCTAGGAACAAGTGAAGCTGGCTTCCTAACCAGTCAGGAAGCCGGAAGCCAGTCATGACGTGCCACCTGGCTTCCTCATTGGCTAGGACGCCGGCTTCACTTGTTGCTAGGCAGCTTGGCTTCCTGACCAATCAGGAAGCTGGACTGCACCTCATGACTCGCCGCCCGGCTTCCTGATTGGTCAGGAAGCCATACAGCCTCGGCTGTTGTTCTTTCGGTAGAAGAACGGCTTCACAGGCAATCAGGAAGCCGGGCGATGAGTCATGAACCGGTACCCTACTTCCTGATATCTGGGCACATGGCATTGGTAGTGGCGAGTACCAAAATAAACTCGATAATGAAACACTGGTATCGGTGCATCCCTAGTTCTTATTGTGCTGCCTTATTGCCAAGCACAAATATATCATGTACATATCTTGGGGGGAATTTTTGAAATCTGGAGCAGCCGTCCGTGGCAACCAATTACCTTCTCGCTTTCATTTTTAAAGCTTAACCAAACAAACTGAAGAGGGAAGCTGATTGGCTGCCATAAGCAACAGCTCCAGATTCTGTCTATTCTAGTTGTGATAAATTCCCCTAGTGGTGTCTTACCTGTGTATAACAGGACCAGGTACTGGTCCCTAGGACCCTTCTAACCCTCTCCTCCTCTTGCTGTTTTCCAGGAACTCCAGTCATTAAGCAGGAAGCTGAGGAGGGAGATGACTCGTAATCTTTTTTGCTTTTTCATTTTCTTTTTAAGTTATTTAAACCGTTCCAGAAACACAGAGATGCTTTTTATAAACCTTTTTTGTATATTTAAAAAGATTTGAATAGTTTCCTTTTTTATGTTTTTAAGTTATCATTGATGCAAGGCATTATTTCAAGTGTGACTTAATTATCCGAAAGGATCACTCTGCACATGAGATAAGAAGCGGTTCTGATATCGTTATCACAATGGAAAGCAACTCCAGCGTGATGTGAACAAGCACAAGGGGACATTATCATTTCACAGGGTGTTGAAACTTATTATACAACATATCTATTCCTAATAATATATCCGAGTCTAATCATGGGGAGGCATGACCTCCTGCTTGTACTCTCCCAATCTTCAGCCTGGTTATTCCATGTAGACCTCTCCTAGGGGGGATTCTGGTTTATTGATCATCTGAAAATTGGTTCAGTACTAGAATGGATGCCATCTTTGTATATGCTGAGATAAGCTCATTACAGGGAAGTCCACCTAGTACAGACTTTTCCACATTATATGGGTGCAGTATTGAATTACCCAGTGGCTATCTCTTGGGCACTTATGTTCCCAGTTCTACACCTCCATGCTGTGATACGTATCCGGAGTAATTTGTGGTTCCTTCCAACGTTCCTAATCATTTGGAACAAGTCGAGCTACCAGCAGTGGGACTGAAATCTGCCTATGGGTGCCCACACACCTTACGATAATCGTGGGAAATCCCGCGATCGTACGATTAATGTAAGGTGTGTGGACCTCTACTACTGTAAGGTCGCACGACTTTAAACATACGAACATGTTCGAAAACCCGCCGAGCATCATACGATGTTCGGCGGGGGTGTAGCATGTTCGTAAGATAAAAGCCGGACGGGCCGATGTACGCAAGCGCACACTGCCCGTTTGGCATTGCGGTCATCGGAAGCCCGCCCCTCAGGGGGGCGCGGCTTGCGATCATGGCAAGTACGATCTGCCTGTCCAAGATAGGCAGATCGTACGTTTGTGTTAAGTACCTTACAACCATCGCAAGACAAAGGTTGTAAGGTGTGTGCCCAGCATTAGACTGTAGTGAGTGAGCAAAGCCCTGGCATTGAGGTGCACAGATCTTCCATTAGAGATATAAGAAGCTAATGGTAAATTAATTCTTCTGCCTTCTACATTGATGTGAAATATCTGCTTTGGGTGGACTTCCACTTTATTAATATCCTTAAAATGCACAAACCTTTTGTATCCTCAGTAGAAGTATATAGAACCATATAGTAGACTTTACATTACTACAGAGTTTAAGATTATTTTTATGAGACAGAAATGTGAGAAGAAGGCATTCTCAGTCATGTGAGCAGTAACTTTGACTATCAGGTATGTTCTTTTGTTTGTTTTTTATTTATAGCTGGTACTAATTTGAAATAACTCCAGAAAAGAGGTTTGGGCGGAGGCACATTGTTATCAGTCACCCACAATGGGTCAGAGATGTCCATTTTTTTTAGTTAATTGTATTAAAGGAGAACTATGAGGTGACTGACTTTCACTCAACCTCATAGTTCGAGCCGACGTGTGACAATGAGACTGTCACATATCGGCTCTATAGATCGGGAAGTGAGCAAACACATACCGTCGCTCGCTCACTTCTCAATCTATCCCTGTAGAGAGCCGTGACTGCCACTCACGGCTCCCTGCAGGGATCCCCCAACCCCTCTCTGATCCTCCTGTGCTGACTAGCAGAACAGACAGGGGAGTGCACGGGCACAGCTGGCTCTGCCTCTATATAGGCAAATCCAGCTGTCAATCACGCAGCTGGGTGGATCTCGACAGTAATGTCAGGATCCACCCCGGCTGCGGTATACTGAGCTTTTGGTCACAGGACGACGCTAGTTTATGTCCGCCTGTGACCCTGAAGAGAACTATGGGGGGAAAAAACTCCTTTTAAATGTACTATATTTATAGGTCAGCCACTAGATGGAGCTCTGCATTCCACTACAGTCAGTCAAACCTCCCAGCTGAGCAAATGTTAAAAGGATAAGTTCACCTTTTGCAAAAATTTAAAGAAATACATAATAATATATATAAAAATATATGCATTTCTATAATATTTGCATTTAAGCCTGGAAAGTATTGCAATCACTTGATCCGGGCTGCACAGCTCAGGCTTCTGAACTTATCCTTTACGATATCAGCCACACGGTGTGCAGTTATTAATGAGTGCCTTACTCATCTGTGCATTGAGATGCAACAGTAAGGCACAAGCATTGTGTAGTACTAAAAAAAGGAGACAGAGTCTGTATGTGTAATGAGAAAATTTGGCTGCCCCGACGCCCATTACAATCTATAGAGAGAAAAGAGGTTTAACAACAAAAATACACATTTACAGCAAACCTCTTTTCATCTTTTAAACATGAAAAATACTATTAATTCCCTTTACATTCAGTATCAGAAAGCCAGCACGCAGCCTGCAAATCTCCACTGCTCATTGTATAACATTCACACAGACTAGATTGTGGCTCAGAAGATTTTCCCCATTCCATACAGTCACATTGGACCAGTGCCACACATAGTTATTGGCTTTGAAATCCATTAACCTCAGCAGCCGGAATATGTGACACTTTCCCACTGGCCTCCCCTCAAAGCCCCTTGGATGGAGTACTTCTATAATGTGTTCAAGCTGTGGGCCAAAATGTGTACTGGTATTTGTACTGAATGGTTGTAGTTTTCAAATGATATGTTTGTGTCAGTGGAACTGACTAGATTGTCCGTCTCCAGAACCAAAGCTGGTCAATGTGGTATTTCTTCCTGCATTATATTGATACTGTCCTGTTTTTTTTTTTTTCACGTTGCATTTGAAAAGCCTGATCAGCACAGTGACAAGTGTGAGTATACCTGTGTGACAATAAACTTCACTTCTCTTTCATTTTCTGAGTGTTTTCTTCTGTGCACCTACCAGCAAAGGCTCCTCCTTCCCATCTTTCTCAAAGTAGTTTTCCTGGCCCCATGGATCTCAGTACTATGGCTTGCCTAAGGCAAGGTACAGTTGACCACCTGCCACAATATTCTCATACTTGCCATATGTGGCCCATAACCAGCCATAGAGCACAACAGCTCTCCTCCTAAGTGTCTCCAGAGTTGGCACATTATACTATATGGACAACACCAACTTTTTGATAAGAGGGATACAGGCAGTCCCCAGGTTACGGACAAGATAGGTTCTTTAGGTTTTTTAAGTTGAATTTGTATGCAAGTTGGAACAGGTACTTTTTTTAAGTGTAACGCCAGCCCCCAATTTTTGTTTTGGATAGCATAGGGAAGGGATAACCCCCTGTAACGTTTGTTTTGCTGTGTGTGCTCCTGTTCAGAAGGTTTCACCTCACTTTCTGTCCCGGTGACGTGACAATTGGATTTTGAAAATTTTGGGTTGTCGTGGAAACAAGGATTGGTGATTAAAGCTTCAGTGGAGACACCTTTTTCACATGACAACTCTTAAGGTGCCCATACACTGCACGATTATTGTACGATAATCGCGGGAAATCCCGCAATCGTACGATAATCGCAAAGTGTATGGAAGGCGTGCGACCGTTTCTACTGTACGGTCGCACGTCTTCCGTCGCAGGCCTGCTTGTTCGATAACTGCCGAACGGGCCGGTGTGCGCACGCACACACTGCCCGTTCAGCATTGCAGTCATCGGAAGCTCGCCCCTCGGAGGCAGGCTTGCGATGATCGCAAGTACGATCTGCCTGTCCAAGTTGGGCAGATCGTACATTTTTTTAAAATTACTTTACAACCCTCGCAAGACAAAAGTCTTGCGAGGGTTGTAAAGTGTATGGCCACCTTTTACAGGTGTGAATTTCCCTTCCTAGGGCTAGATTTCCTTTCACTTCCTGTTGTCTCAAGGACAGGAAGTGAGATTAATTCTTTCTAATGATACAGACAGCCGTAAGAACCTCACAGTGACCCGGAAGAAGAGTTGGGCACCTCTCCTCTGCACGTCTAACAAGAGCCAACTTCCTGTAATGTACATACAGTACTACGAACCAGACCCCAAAAAAATGCACGCACTCCTCCTCACCGGCACGGTAGCATTACAACTACCCCTGCTGTACAGTAATAGTCTCCGTTTGTAAGTAGGAGTCGTATATAAGTCCGATGTATGTAACTCGGGGACTGCCTGTAATGTGTAAATCACACGGTGTAAAAATTCCAATCAAATTCATTTTGATGACAGGTTGGAACTCTACAAAATATAAGGGGGTGAATACTTCTGCACTGTAGATGCTTTATCTCCTAAGGCTGCTGATGAACATAGAAGCAGAACAGCCAAACTGCTGAACAATATGGGAACAGAATCCCAGTGTTGGATGAAACGACAATTTTTAGTGTCAGGGAAGCAACAGAATACATTGCCACAGTTACCCAGAACACATTTCTATACTGCAGTGTATACAAGAATAAAAAAAAAGAATCCTTTCTAGTGAGAAGTGGTAAGTAGACTCTTTATACGAACCATAAAAATAACATTGTATTCAGGTAGCACACAGTATACAGGCTTGCAATCCAACATTCTTCAATGCACACACTCAAACAAAATATATTTGACAGCATTTTTTGGGGGGGAAACTAATTTAAGTGAATATGTAAGTTAGGACAATGGCAGTCTTCTTTTTTGAGCAATGTATGGAACAATAATTTACATTTTTGGGCTCAGGAGTCAGATGTTTGTCATACTGAAACGTTTCCTGTGACCAATTTCACACTGCACAAAATGAGAGAGACGGTCAGGATACCCTGTGCAAAGGAAATGCTTTAATCACTATAGTGCCCATAGTCATCCCTGCAAACCAAAAAGGAAGATTATCAGACAATAGGCCTCCTACTCTGTTTCCAAAAGATAAGATTCTTTCAAATCTGGATTAATAACGAATAAAGGACATTGTGTTATGTTGGAGTATAGAGGGCAGTTTCTATCTCCTCGAATGAAGGACATTGTGTTATGTTGGAGTATAGAGGGCAGTTTCTATCTCCAACAACCACATCGTATGATTGCACAATATCTGTGCCAGGAATGGTCACAATCACCTTATATATGTTCAGGTCTTTTATTTCAATACCTCCATGGTACTTGTTTTACAAGAATACCAATGTGGGTGAGGAAGCTGCAAGCTTTGAGCACGACTCCCACAAAA